TTGTCGGAAGGTCGTTTCACCTACAGCTACAAGATTCGCTGGGCATGTGCAGCAGGTCAGGACGCACAAAAAAGTCAATCAGCGCCAAGCCCTAAACCCAACAGGAAGTCCGTTATGTTGATAAACCTTGGTGACGATTTTGGCGCATTTGGCTGACTTTTGCCCATTTTTGACAATTTTCAAAATCTATCTCCTCCCACAGGGAAGGTCATACACACCTGAAATTTGGCCAGCACAAACTACAGGAGGTGGTGATTACATATTTGTAAAACGGTCCGCACAAGTGTGACGACGTGGATTTGGCCACAACGCCATAAAACACCAGAATACGAGACGCGCTGTGTCTGTGCTCCAATCGGCCTGAAATGTTACACGCGTGCTCCGAGTCTCAGCCAGAGCGCGTTTCCACCCCGGCCAACACGCACGCCGCCGCGGCTCGCCACTAAACAGGAAGTGGCTCGTAACTACGCCACACTTGCTCCGATCTGCCCCAAACTCGACATGCCGGATCACAGTCCTGCCCGGAGCAGGTTTGCCCCACACCCCGCCGTGCGCAAAGGCCGACAAGCGTAGGGCGAGGACCCGTCCATCGCCGCTTGCGGCTTTAATTCTTTCTGTTTTTACAGTTTCTAGTTCTGACAAATTGTGTCTTTTTTGGCAATTTGAAAGACAAGATGCCTTTTTCAAACCCACTGGTGGGTTTTGGGGTTCAGAAGGTTAAATCGCATGGGGGGCATTAATAGCAATCATGACAATGCATCCAGTGGTGGTGTTGCATCATCTAAAAACAAAGCATTTCTGAACATCAAACACACTGAAAAAAGTACACTTTTTCAGCATGTATGACCTCATCATAGTCCAGCAACCTGCTCCTGATCTAGTCATATGCATAACAAGAGGCATGAAGTGAAATCCTGCAGTGGTGTGTTAGACAACCCCACTTTCCCTAACAAACCAATGAAAACCTCACCATCACTGGCTTTTAAATAGAAAAATAGCTATCTGTGCTATTGTTTATCACATATTCAAATAGAAGTATTTAAATGACATTTGTCACAATGGACCTGATAATTTAAGTGAACAGGCTAGAGTAACAATCTAGAGAGAGCACAAGTAGAATAAAAGTGCAGGTCTGTTGCAGGCCTCCCTCTGCTGTACCGTTCCATCAGAGGTGGTCCAGGTAATTTGGGGTACGGGGAGCCCTCTGACATGGCAGTTCAGTTCAACTGTACTCTCAAAGCTCTCTATCTCTTTGAAGTCGTCCTCCATGATCTCTGGCGGGCCTGCAGAGAGCAGTGTTAGAAATCACAACTCTGTGATTAACAGTACATGTTGCAAGCACACAGTCTGACTACGCTTTCCTTTAAAAAGTGCCACAGTGTTCAAAAATACAGCTGAAACTACACAAAATTAAGAAAACTGAACATAAAACATGTATAAACCCATGATGAAAACTTAAATTATACATTACAGAACAGATTGACTGTGGACCTGAAAGCACTGTAGCATTCAGCATACAGTGTCTGTAATCAGACTCACCCAGGACATAAACATGAAACGTGCTGCTGGTTTCCATTCCCTCCATGTTAGGAACGGTCACTCTACACACATACGTCCCTGTGGTGTCAAATGTAACATCTTGCAGGGTCAAACTATGACCTTTGGCGACCTCCTTTTCGTTCTACACACCAGGATACAAAAAGCACATTTAACTCACACACTGATGTAAACAGAAATGAAACAGGGGTTACTGATAAATACTGCTAGAACAGGAAGCAGTCGTCATCAATCATCCTGACGCAACTGTGCTCATCAAGCTCCTGTGTGGGGATAGACTGACTATCAGCCTGGCCGATGATCGGGGCATATATCCGCATTTTTTGAATTACTGGTATCATTATTATCATTACCTTTGCCTCTGATTCAGCCAGCTCTCTTTCTCTGCAGTCACTCTGTGCTCTCAAGCAATGTCCAGCCTACAGGATTATCTGATCGGCTGTTACATGTGACAAGTAACAGTCAATCAACAATGAACGCCATTGTTTACAGACAGCATCAGGTGAGCACATTTGCAGAGTAGAGCAGCTGATCAAATCTACAAATCAGGATATTAGCTACTCTCACAGTGGCTAAGGCTACACTAGCAGCTAGCTGCTAAGTTAGGAGGCAGCCACATATTCCTCAGAAACCGCGTCCGGGAAAACAGTAACAAATAATGCTTTAAGATGTGGGCCGTAGTGACCAAAATAAAGTAGTGGCACAGTGAAATATTAAGGGGATCTGTAGACTAAACTGCAGAAGACAAACTGTTCAATCTCAGCCAATGAATCCCAGTTTAATGTATATCAGTTCCACATATCAATTATTGGTGTTTCTACCAACAGTTAGTATCGGTATCTACCCTGGAATAACCATATCAGCACTTCTGTATAGATGCTATGTAAGATGATGAGTTTTGTATATGCATGTTGATTCGTTTGGTGTTACTGTTTGTGTAATTGTACTGCATGTGCATGTGTAACCTTGAACCAGGCTGTTTCTGTCGGGAGAGAAGCAACAGCATTGCAGGTGGCAGTCAGCTCCCCTCCTTGTAAAACCTCATTCTTCTCCGATCTCACAGTAGCCTGATCGAGATCTACACAAACAAAGAAACACAAGAAAAAAATCAGGCACTCTACAGTTTAAATGTAATTGTTGTAATAATCATAAATCATCATAGTGTGTTTTCCTTACAGTTGACAAATACGGTGGTGTTTCGTGTGAGCTCCTCTATAGTGTCCAGGTCCATAAAGATGCACTCGTAAACGCCACTGTCACGACGGGTCACATTGTCCAACACCAACATGTTTTTATCCCAAACACGCTCATCCTGCAAACATCCACAGAAATCTCAACATACATATACAACCTTCAGTTTAACATGAAGAAGTCCTTACAGGGCTCAGGAAAGACTGTGTGATATAATTAAAAGTTGCAGCCACAAATGGACGCTGTAGTGAGATTGTTTTGGTTAACACATGAACAGACCTTCAATGAGCTGCTGTTTTTGGCACAGGAATCATGAGTGCAAAAGTGTTATTTTCTTACAAGTATGTGCTTGATTGTAAATTCTGAGGATTGAGGATTTCCGTTGCCATTGCAATGAAGCTCAATCGAGTCTCCTTCCTTGATTTCGCCCTTTGGTGACTCAACCCAAATATTTATTGCTGTGGAGGGGTCTGAAACAGAGAGAGGAATTCAAGGTCAGAGCACAAACCTGAATTTTAAAAGCAAGAAAGTTGTAGGTTTATGTGATGTCTAAAAACACTCTGGCTAACCCGGCTCAATCAACAATCCCTGCATTGATGCCTGTGAGTTGGACGCCCTGAGCCTCTAAATGCATTTTGCCCTCCTGATGAAACTTTCCTGAAAGCTAACAACAAGCAACTCCAAGGCCAAAACTAACAGCAGCTTTAAATAGGGATGGGATTTTGCTTTGTTTTGCCCCTCAATCATTAGTGACTTATCAGTCTATGCCACATCACTTTCACAACAACTAGAGAATATGCTGATTTAAAGAGTTATTTCAATCAGCTGACTTAAAACAATTTGTATCCCTGTGTGTGTGTTTTTGTTGTGATATTTTCAATGCTGCCAACAAAACACAATTTTATTTTATTTTTTTAAATTTTTGTCAACGATGAGCTGTTGAGGATACCTGATGAATCATCGAATTCAATGCAGGTGATGACTGAGACAAAGGCCTGTTAGTGCAAATTAAGGGAAATCTTGGTATTTATCA